GAGATCATGTCATTCCTCGACGCGTTCCGCGGATATCATCAAATCTACATGCATGAGGAAGACGCTGAAAAAACCGCCTTCATGACACCCGAAGGCATCTTCTGCTACCTTGTGATGGCCTTCGGTCTCAAGAATTCGGGCGCCACCTACACCCGAATGGTGGCCAGAGTCTTTCAAGCTGTCCTAGGACGCACCATGGAGGCTTACGTTGACGACATGATCGTCAAAAGCAAAAAAGCAAGCACTCACGCCGACGACCTCCAGGAAATCTTTGCCATCATGCAAAAATTCAATCTCCGGCTAAATCCAAAGAAATGCACCTTCGGCGTGCAAGGGGGGAAGTTCTTAGGCTACATGGTCAGCCGAAGGGGTATTGAGGCCAACCCCGAGAAGATTCAGGCCATCATCAACATGGAGCCTCCACGCAACGTAAAAGAGGTTCAACGGTTGACGGGTCGCCTGGCAGCCCTCAACCGTTTCCTCTCCAAGTCAGCCGAGAGGGCCCTCCCCTTCTTCCAAATCATGAGGAAGACGGCGGGTTTTCAATGGACATCTGAGTGCCAAGAAGCCTTCGACGAACTTAAGAAGTACCTTTCTTCTCCCCCGGTGCTCTCCAAACCGAAGGTGGGGGAGACTTTATACTTGTATCTCGGCGTCAACCCTGCGGCCATCAGTTCGGTGCTAATCCGAGAAGAAGGCGGCGTCCAACATGCCATCTTCTACGTCAGTAAAACCCTCCGGGAGGCCGAACTCAGGTATTCTCCCGTCGAGAAGACGGTGCTAGCCATCGTTTGGACCGTCAAGAAGCTTGGCCACTACTTCCAAGCTCATCCGGTCCAAGTGCTCACTCATCAACCCCTCGGCGCCCTCATGAGGAGTCCCACTAGCTCCTCTCGGATGGTGAAATGGGCCATCTTCCTCAGCCAATACAACATAGATATCCGTCCGAGGCCTGCCATCAAGGGCCAAGCCCTGGCGGACTTCGTGACGGAATGCACCGCGAGATCAGCGGTGGATGAGGAGCCTTCGGCACCCCTTGAAGAGTGGTGGACCCTCTATACCGACGGCTCCTCGGCTACCAAAGCATGCGGAGGGGGAGTAGTTCTCGTCACGCCCGAGGGCTTCCGCGCCTATTATGCCATCCGCTTCTCCTTCAAAGTCTCCAACAACGAGGCCGAATACGAAGCCCTCCTCTGCGGCCTTCGGCTGGCAGCGAATCTGAAGGCTAAAATGATCCACGTCAAGTGTGACTCCAAACTCGTCGTGGGTCAAATTTCCGGGGAATACGAAGCCAAGGAAGGGAGGATGAAACAATACAAAGAAGCGGCTAAGGAGTTGCTCAAGGTATTTGAGGCACATTCCCTCACCCAAATACCGAGGGCTCAAAACTCCGAAGCCGACATTCTGTCCAAGCTCTCGGACGAATCCCCCGAGCACCTCTCGAAGATTGCAAGAATTGAGGAGCTTAGCCTCTCAAGCATCCACGCGAGCCCCGTCATGAGCATTAACCTGAGACCGGAGGATTGGATCTCTGACATCATCGCCTTCATCACCACAGGGCAATTGCCCCAAGACGAAGCCCGCGCCAAGTTAGCGAGGCTGAGGGCTCCCAGCTACACCGTCGAGAACGGAAGGCTTTACAAAAGATCTTACAACGGCACCCTCCTTCGGTGCCTTCATCAAGATGAGGCCGAAGTCGCCATGGAGGAAGTACACTGTGGCACTTGCTCAGCTCACCAGGGACCCTTCTCCATGTCTCGAAGGCTCGTGGTTCAAGGCTACTTCTGGCCCACGATGGCTAGAGATTGTGCTGATCTGGCCCGAAGGTGCACCGCTTGCCAACACTTCCAGAAGGCCCCCGGCAGGCCAGCGGTCAACTATGCCCCCATCAGCACCGCTATACCCTTCTCCAGATGGGGAATTGACTTAGTAGGTCCTCTGCCGAGGGGTACCTCCAACAATAGGTATATCATAGTGGCCATTGACTACTTCACCAAATGGGTAGAGGCCGAGCCCCTCGCCAGCATCACTGAGGCCCGGTGCCGCCACTTCGTCCTCAAGAACATTCTGACAAGGTTTGGTGTCCCTCAACAAATCATCTCCGACAATGGAACTCAATTCGGGGCAGCCCCCTTCTGTGCCCTCTTGGAGGCATGGGGCATCAAACACACCTTTTCATCCGTTGCCTACCCTCAGGGCAACGGTCAAGTAGAGAATGCCAACCGCACCCTCCTCGAGGGGTTGAAGAAGAAGCTGGAAGCCGAAGGGGGAGGCTGGGTAGAAGAGCTTCACAACATCTTATGGGCCTACCGTACCACCCCCCGGCGTGCAACAGGCGAAACACCCTTCTCCCTATGCTATGGCTTTGAGGCTAAGGCACCAACAGAAGTGACCCTTCCCACCCGGAGGGTGGAACAATATGAGCCCGAGGTCAACGACGCCAACATGGCCCTCGACCTTCACCTCATCTCGGAACGCCGAGAGCAAGCTTTCCTCAGGGCCGAAAACTATAGGAGACAAGTCAAGGGCTACATCGACGCCAAGGTCCGCTCCCGGGAATTCCAGGTGGGAGACTACGTCCTCCGACGAAGGGAGGCCAGTCTACCCACCGAAGGAGGAAAGATGGCGCCCAAGTTTGAAGGCCCCTACATCGTCTCAGCCATCATCAAACCAGGGACGTACAAGCTTAAACGTCCCAATGGGACGGAGGTCCCTAGACATTGGAATGTGCACCACCTTGTCAAATTCTATCAATAAGGCATGAGCGGCCAAGCCCTCATCCTCAGCAAGTGTAAATATCAATGGCCCAAGGCCCCATCTGTTTTTGAAGAATAATCGCGAGGCCAAGCCTTCATCACCTACATATTGTACAAACGGCCCAAGGCCCCCTTCTCTCCTACACATGAGTGGCCAAGCCCTCATCTCTCCGCCAAAATAGGCCCAAGGCCTCTCCCTCTCATAAGAGGGAACAACAATTTAGATACCAAGTACCAAGTGTATGGGTCACCCCCATCACTCTTTGAAAACACCAAGTGTTTTCTCACCAAGCCGTACCCCACGAGGACGCAATCATGCATACATTATGCATACTTATTTATACTCTACCCTCCTAAAAAAAAAAAAAAAAAAACGGGGGGTGCGACACCCCTCGGCTCCGGCTGGTACCAAATGCCCCCGGCTATTTGTGTTCCACACACAAATAAAACCCTTCCCAGGAACGCTTTCCGCGCCATCCCCCAAGGGGAGGCAGGCAACGGACCATGTCCCGGGCCCAGGATTCGACTTCCACAAACGAAACGCTCCCCGCGCTATCCCCCAAGGGGAAGCAGGCAACAGACCATGTCTCGGGCTGAGGGGACGACTTTCAAAACCGAGGCGCTTTCCGTGCTATCTCCCAAGGGGAAGCAGGCAACAGACGATGTCTCGGGCCGAGGAAACGACCCTCAAACCCTTCGGGATATCGGAAGGTCATTCCCGAAGGGGGAGCCAACGGTTTATTCCGTTGCCTCCCATATAGGCCAAGCCTTTCCTAGAAACCAAGTTTCTAGATGCCTCTCCTACACCATCTAAAAAAAAAAAAAATGTGTAGGGGGGAAGGAACTCCCCGGATACTATTTTCCCCGGAGGCTCAACACTTCGGATATATATTCCCGAAGGCTCCTACAAAGGCACAAGAAAGTCTCGCAACAACAAGTCATCTGGCTACATAGCCGAAGGCTTCACTGCATGAAACCTTGGAGTACAAGATTACCACCGGAGGCCCAAGAAGAGGGCTCACTAGCAAAACTCCACCTAAATTTGGCTAAGTCCGAGATTCGGCTAAATCAAAGCCAACCATGCTTCATGACGAAGGCTGCACAAAGTCTAACTACATCTACCAGGAGCTGAGGGCTTCATGCCGAGGGCAGAAAGCTACCGAACTCACTCAATGGTGAAAAATTTCCTAAGTCCACGAACGGGAACCCCTCGGTGGGCAAACATGGACTTCGCTGCTACCGACAGGCTTAGAGCCGAAGGCAACCTCAAACTACTCGCCAAGGACCTAAAACTGCACTATGAGTCGATGGCTCAGCAACGTCGATGGCCTACGGTGATATTAGCTTAGAAAATTTGCTAAGTCTAATTCATTTTAGCCCTCGGTCTATTCGCTTCAGCATTTCCGGGGGCCCGGAAGTTTTATTTGGATTATTTACCGAGGTTTTTGCACCACATCCGAAGATTTTCTAGGTCCACAACGACAAGCCCCCGGCAATGCTACACTACAACCGGGGGCTAGCAAGTGGTTACGCTTAGAAGATGTTTCTAAGTCCACACGGTTCTGGCCCTCGGGGAAAGAGACAAAGGAGAGGGAAGCATGCATTCGCCCAAGTAAAGAAAGGCATACATACATTCATACAAAAATCAAAGAAATGAGGCATTGATTCAGAAAAGCCCGAAGGCAATCATTAATCCACAATAGATATTCAAGGTGCAAAACTGGTGTTCGTTTACATACACGGCCGGGGCCGGAAATTACAAGCTATTACAAAATGGTACTTAGAGAAATTTTAAGATTGGACGTTTTCGGCTCCACCCTCTTTCAACTTTGAAGCGACATCCTCCCCGGCGGCTTTCGAGGTAGCCTCCTCCTCTTCATCATCATCGGCCTCTTTCATCAGCTCGGAGTCTTCGAGATCCGGTCTCTCGACACCCGGGGGGAGGGGAACCCTAGTATCTGGCTGGAGGGGGGGAAGACCGTAAGCTTCGGGTTTGAAGTCCTGAGGATCAACGCCGAAATGCCTAGCGAGCCTCCGGTAGACGAGCCATTGGGTAAAAAACTCGCCCCCATCATAGTACTCCTTGCCCTTCCGGGCTAGCCACATCGCCCCGGGGCCACCAACCCAGTCGTCGACGCTTTCCTCGATCACCGAGGCCACCCACTGCCTCCGATCCTCATCTTTCCAGCCTCCGGCAACAAAGGCAGCAACAACATTTTTCTCGGCCTGAGAGATGGCCACCCTCTTCGCTTCCTCGGCCTCATCGGCAGCGGTTTTTGCGGCGGCAGCAGCAAGCGTCTCGGCCTCCGCCTTGCCCTCGGCCTTGCCCTCCCTCCGGGCATCCTCCAACCTCAGCTCCGTCTTCCGGAGGGTCTCCTCCAGCGTTGCCATCTTCCGAATGGCCTCAGTATTAGTCACAACGAGCTTCCTCAAAGCCTCGTCGGACTCCGCCTTCTGAAGGCGCAACTGCCCCACCCTTCGGATGTGTTCTCCAAGGGCCACACTGGCCTGCAAACATACAAAGAAAAAACAGAAAATCAGACCACTACGCCAGGAAGAGACTCAACGGCTAAGGGAAGAAAAATAGTGAGACTCACAGTCAACGAGGCCTGGAGAAGCTTGGCGTCCAGGGCAGCGTCGTCATGCCGGCCGAGGGTCGACCTATCCAGTGAAGGAGTAGCCCCATTTAGGAACTCCATCGGATCCAGGGTGCCATGCGTGATGGCAGTCCCTTTCTTGATGGAGAATTGGATGCTCTCCCGGGGCCAGGGCCCATCTTCCATCTGATCCGGGAAAGGCGCAGGGACAGTCGCCGCCACCAGAGGGGTCCCCGAAGAAGAGTGGCCCTCCGAGACGTCCTTAGCGCCGGCGACCTTCTTGGGTTTTTTGCCGGGAGCTGCATTACTTTTACCCGGCGCCCTCCTCTTAGCCGCCTCAGTTCGAAGGGTACCAGCACCCTCGGCAACATCTTTGCAGGGTCCCTCGGCCCCCTGGTCTTTCTCCGTTTCCCCCTTCGGAAAAAAGTCGTCTACGGGCCTCTGTTGGGAGGGCCCCCCCTCCTTCAGCTTCTTCTTGGGCTCCTTGGCCAACTGCCTCTTCAACTTAGCAATGTTCTTCGCATCCATCTCGGGACCTGCAATAAGCACACAAATATTAGATAACAATGGCAAAGCAAGTGAAGAAAAATCCTAAGTACACAACTAGGAGCCTTCGGCACCCACCTTCGGCGCTCTCATAGACTCTGTCTATCGGGGGGTACTCATCGCCAGTCTCGCCCACCAAGTGGAAGCGGCGGAAGCCCAGCAGGAGAAGCTCCTCCGGGACGGTGGCGTCCTTGATAGTCTTCAATTTATCAGACCCCCCCGGCTTCTTCACCAGCTCCTTCCCATTCTTAGCAAGGGCGGCATTCCCAACCTTAGGGTGTCTTTTGAAATGGTCACGAAGAGGAGCGGGAAAGGGGTTCTCCTCCATCCGGATGAAGCAATACTTATCCTTCCAACCTTTGTGGGAGGAAGGAACCTCGGAGAACAACCTCCACTCCGGGACTTGTTGTAAATTGGCGAAGCCCTCGCTGTTGGCATGGCCCCCCCAGCAAAGGTTGAAGGAAAGGAGAAACTGATCTAGCGAGGCCTCAACTCCCCTTTCCCGGCATAGCGACAAGAATCCAGCCAGATAAGAGTGGCTGTTCGGAGTAATCTGGCAGGGGGCGAGTTTGACGAAGCGCAAATACTCCAACACGAAGGGGTGGAGTGGGAACCGAAGGCCCAACTCCACAGATAGGATGTGCACCGCGAAGCAGCCTTCGGGAGGTCGAAGAAGCACATCATCTGGCCCCGGCTCCACCACCTGTGCCGAGGGCCCGGCAAAAAATTGAGTTGCCATATACTCCGCATGGGTGCCCCTCGTCTTCAGTTCGAGCGCAGCCGTGTTCAAGTAAGAGTGGCCTTCAGGAATCCCGACGGGTTATCCCGCATCAACGGCGGCTTGCTTCTTCTTCTTCGAGGCCGCCCTCACCTTCTTCTTCTTCCCGGGAGCCACATTGAGAGGCTCCGGATCAAGGGGCCTAGAACTCCCCGCTCCGACATCGCCGCGGGGGGGAAGGACATCGAGGGTCACTTTCATCCTCTCCTTCTCTTCTTCCTCCTCGGCAGTTTGGACCGCGAGGGCCATCTCCTCGTCCTCAATCACCTGTTCAAATTCTTCGGCTTCGGCCTCGGTTATGAGCCGTTTCTGGACTTCGGCAGCCACCTGCGAGTCGTTGACGTCCGAGGACTGTTCACTGGAAGACCCCACGTCCGAATAACTTTCGGGCTTCTCCGAGGCCTCCTTCGAGATGTTCTGAGAATCGGTTTGCGAAGACATTTTTGTACTAAGGGACAACTTCTAGAAGGGGAAGACTACTTAGTGTTCTAGTCGAAGGCTCCTAAGATCTCTAACACTCGATCTAAAGATAAAAAAGCAAAATATGCCAAGGTAGTAAGAAACGGAGCAAGTACTGACCTTGTGACTTAGGTTTTGATCGGAGGAAATACTTTATCTCTCTAGAAATTTTGGCAGAGCTCCGCTATCACTCAAGTTCGCACAAAGGAAAATGAATTCGGCTTGGGGTATTTATAGGCTCTCAGCCTCGAGAACTGGGCCTCGATCTTAAAAGGCCATCATTACGGGCCGCCGGTTCAACCAATGTGTGGCACCCGCCCCCCATCTGCCAACGACGAAGTGCCACGTGGAACCCTCTTCTAACGGCTATATTACAACGACTATATTTCGGCAACACTGGGGTGCCCTCGAATGATAGCCTCCGGCTATCACTCACCACAGCCTTCAGCCAATGAATTCCAACATAGCGCCTTCGAGCTTGCGGCAGCATCAGCCCCCGGCTTGTAAATATTGTCACCCCTCGGGGAACCCAACAACACATTATAACTCCTTCAGCCCGAACTCGCCTTCGGCCTAAAGGAGTGGGGGACTGGGACACACCCCTCGGAATCACACCCTTCGGCGGAGACAGAATATCAAAAGTTTTCCACGTCACTTGCGGAAATGAAGCGGGAAGCGGCCCTCATCACAACACATGCAGGCAATACATCTATGCTTTCCCCAGAAAACCCTCGACATGTGAGGGACTGGGGAAAGCCTTCTGGAGTCATACAGGTGTTATACTGCCCTCAGAAAGCCCTCGACATGTGAGGGACTGAGGGGAGCCTTCGGCAATCAGCAGAAAACAAGTTCTCCAGCAAAGGCACCCAGCGAAATGATGAAGCCTCCAGAAGAATCAACACATCTACTCCTTTTCCCTCAAGTACCTTTCGGCAAAAGGAGTGAGGGACTCCTGATGGAGTATATGACCCAGGAACCCCCGGCCCATAGACTCCTACTTCTCCTACACAAGTCCATTGAGCCCAGAGAACAACTCAGGCCCAAATACAACGGCCCAAGCCTCAAAGTAGCCCAGAATACACCCTGGGGTGCCTTCGGCCTCCTTGGCCGAAGGCTCCAAAACTCACAGGATAGCCTTCTCTGGCATAAGAAGCTGCTGGGAGAAAACGGGCGAAAACACGAGCCTTCGGCATTCTCATGCCCCGGCACCAGGGGAAGCCTTCGGCTGATCCAAGCATTCGGCTACACGAGGAGCCCTCGGCTGCACAAGGAGCCTTCGGCTACACGAGGAGCCCTCGGCTACACGAGGAGCCTTCGGCTACACGAGGAGCCCTCGGCTGCACAAGGAGCCCTCGGCTACACAAGGAGCCTTCGGCTGAACAAGCCCAATCATCGAAGATTCCTTTTAGAGACAGCCAACCACCGCATTTAATGCCATGTCGCATCCGCCAACCGCATTCAATGCGGTTGACGTACCACTGCCGGTGCCACCAGGCTGATGTGACCCTTCGGCCGTTGGATTACTGACACGTGTCCTCTCATCGCATTTATTGCTGCTATAAATAGCAGCCCATTTCTCCTTGTAATGGACATGATCTACATCTCAACTCCACATCTCGAGTTCATTTAATAAAATCGACTCTCTCTCCTCCTATTTGCTCTGACTTCTCTCTAAGTTATTCCCGTAACCCCTCGGATAAGATACCCCCCGGGTAGACTATCCATCAGTAATTATGACTAATGTTTGTTCAATTAGTAGGGGTGGCAGCGGGTCGGATTTTCACCGGGTAGAGGCTCATCCACGTCCACCCGTTAATTTTTTATACTCCACCCACCCGTCCATCATCCATTAAAAATTACATCCACATCCAACCCATCCATCTTGAACGGGTTATCGGGTGGATCGGGTGAGTAGCGGGTGAAATATAAATGGTCAAACTTGACACACAAAAAATAAATTACAAACAAAAATCATGACAATTAAAAACCAAAAATTAAGAATTCATTATAAATAACAAAAAAAGGAGCAATTAACTATATTACAATCATTAATTCAGTGCCAATGATAAAGAAAGAACTGAATGTTAAATAAAATAGACATAAAACTTCTTCAAGTTGTTAAATTCTGCATTTATGCATCGGCACAAAACTATTTTTGCTATTCAACTGCCACTTCTTGAAGCTCTCCAATCATCTTTATTTCACCAATTAACTACTACTACTACTACTACTACTACTACTACTACTACTACTACTACTACTACTACTACTACTACTACTACTACTACTACTACTACTACTACTACTACTACTACTACTACTACTACTACTACTACTACTACTACTACTACTACTACTACTACTACTACTACTACTACTACTACTACTACTACTACTACTACTACTACTACTACTACTACTACTACTACTACTACTACTACTACTACTACTACTACTACTACTACTACTACTACTACTACTACTACTACTACTACTACTACTACTACTACTACTACTACTACTACTACTACTACTACTACTACTACTACTACTACTACTACTACTACTACTACTACTACTACTACTACTACTACTACTACTACTACTACTACTACTACTACTACTACTACTACTACTACTACTACTACTACTACTACTACTACTACTACTACTACTACTACTACTACTACTACTACTACTACTACTACTACTACTACTACTACTACTACTACTACTACTACTACTACTACTACTACTACTACTACTACTACTACTACTACTACTACTACTACTACTACTACTACTACTACTACTACTACTACTACTACTACTACTACTACTACTACTACTACTACTACTACTACTACTACTACTACTACTACTACTACTACTACTACTACTACTACTACTACTACTACTACTACTACTACTACTACTACTACTACTACTACTACTACTACTACTACTACTACTACTACTACTACTACTACTACTACTACTACTACTACTACTACTACTACTACTACTACTACTACTACTACTACTACTACTACTACTACTACTACTACTACTACTACTACTACTACTACTACTACTACTACTACTACTACTACTACTACTACTACTACTACTACTACTACTACTACTACTACTACTACTACTACTACTACTACTACTACTACTACTACTACTACTACTACTACTACTACTACTACTACTACTACTACTACTACTACTACTACTACTACTACTACTACTACTACTACTACTACTACTACTACTACTACTACTACTACTACTACTACTACTACTACTACTACTACTACTACTACTACTACTACTACTACTACTACTACTACTACTACTACTACTACTACTACTACTACTACTACTACTACTACTACTACTACTACTACTACTACTACTACTACTACTACTACTACTACTACTACTACT